CGATGTTGCTCATTGAAGCATTCTGGAACTACAAGAAGAGATATCAGTGAGGGATCTCTGACAAGATGATTTCTTTATTCACCTTCTTTGAATAATTAGAACACAACTTCCATGAAAGGCATTTAATAGGGCTGCCTTGGGAAAGTAGGTAGAAGTCTATGACTTGGACTGAAGAGAAGAGTTAAGGTGCTTGCCTTACATCGTGTCGACCCTGGTTTGAATCCCCAGAACCAAGCACTGAGCCAAGAACAGCCCCTTAGTATCACTGGGAGAACCACCTCCTTCCAAAATAAAATAGTCCGAGGAAGAGAAGTTTCAAAGCAGTGAACAGGAATCATGGGTTTGGTTTGGTTTGTTCACTGGTTGGCTTGTTCATAAGCAGTGCTTGGGGGTTGGAGGTCACTTGGGCCTCACTACAGAAGACACTCAGGGCCTCCACTTGCAAAGCAAGAGCTGCCCTCCAGCTCTTCATCTATCTCTCCAGGCTTTTTTTGTTTTTGGTTTTCTGTTTTGGTTTGGTTTGGGGGCTATACCTGGTGTGCTCAGGACTTACTCCTGGTTCTACACTCAGAGACTGCTCCTGGCATTGCTCAGAGGACCATACGGGGTGTCAGAGATCAAACCCTGGTTGGTCAACTGCAAGGCAAGAGCTGGACCTGCTGTATCATCGTGTTCAATTGTATTCAATTGTATTGGTCACGTCTGTTGGTGCTCTAGGGGAACATGATGACAGGGACCAAACTTGAGCTGGAGCCCAGGCCCCAGGAATCATGTTTTATACCAGTTTTTGGCGAAGGAGGGTAGAGGGTATAGTGGGTAGTGGGGGACACACTGGCAGTGGCGTTCAGGGCTTACTCCTAGCTCTGTGCTAAGGGATCACTCCTGGTGGTGCTCAGGAGTCTGTTTGGTGTCAGGAATCAAACCAGAACTGGCCATGTGCAAGACAAGCACCTTAGCCCTGTCCTGTCTCCCCAGCCCTACACCTGTCTTTCTAGCTAGTCCCTTTCTTCCTTCCTTGGTTGCTGATGTGTTGATCATGAGAGGTCATAGTGCTCACACATTTCCTGGAGTACTCCCCGTAGGTCGCACTGTGTTCAGTGGTGGTTCATGCACATACTCTGTTTGTAGTGCTCCCCAGGGTACCTGTGGTGTTCATGCAGGTGCTTAGCAGGGACCATACTTCCTGACTGTGTTCCTCACACACTTTTCTTTTTTTCATTATGGTGTTTTACCAGGGTTGCATCTCATTGTTCTGCTTATACATTGAGCATGGTGTGATTGGAAATCACTTGCCACTCTGAGTCCATGGACAGCAGAGCCTTCAGATTGTGCTCAGCACATGTGGTGGCATCAGAGACTGAACTCTTGGCTGTACGCTCTTAAGGCAAGTGTTCTGTGCCACAGGTCCTCTGAATCCTTTAAACAGGCTTTTTTTGGGGGCTGGGGGAGGGTGTGGTTGGGCTGAAGCAATAGCACAGCGGGAAGGGTGTTTGCCTTGCAGGCGGCCGACTTGGGTTCGATTCCCAGCATCCTATATGGTCCTCCGAGCACCGCCAGCAGAGCCAAGATTAACCCCTGTGCATTGCTGGGTGTGACCCAAAAAGCAAACAAATAAATAAATAAACAGGCTTTTTTTTTTGAAGGGGGCATTTGAGTATCACACCAGTTGGTACTCAGGGAATATTCCTGGTTCTGTGCTCAGGCATGACCCCTGGCAGTGCCCAGAGTACCATATGAGGTGCTAGAAATTTGAACCCAGTCAGCTATATCCAAGGCAAATGCTTGGACCCTGTACTCTCTCCAGCCCTATACCACATGGGCCACACCTGCAGTGTTCAAAGCTTACTACAGTCTCTGTGCTGAGGGGTCACTCCTGGCAGTGCTCAGGGGACTGTACACAGTGCCAGAGCTTGAACCAAGTTTGGCTTTATGAAAAACAAGAGCCTTATCCACTGTACTACCTCTTTGATCCCTACACCAAGCTTTACCCCAGGTGTGGAATAAATAAAATTAGGTTTTTTAGGTAGAAGTTTTGGCAGAACTATTAACAATATTTAGAAAGTAAGTGAACACTGCGGTTGCTAAGAAATTTAATATTTTATTCATGGAGTGATGGAGGCCTAGTTCTGCTGTTTTAGGCCTATTCTCTAAAAAAAGACTACAGAAAATAAGAAAGAAAATGATCGCAGCACATCCCTCACTTGTTTGACAAAGTTGCCTTGTTTTATTTTAAGAATCAGGCAATTAGAAAGGAAAATTCACTTCTTCCACCACCAAATCTACCAGCATGTCTGCACTACCAACTATACTAATCTTTCCTCTTCCTTTAAAAAAAAATAACACCCCAAAAAAGACTATGATCTGAGAAGATGCTCAGAGGTCAGAGGCGCATGCCTTGCATGAGTAAGGACTTGGGTTTGAACCATGGCACCACATACCCTACCCCAGCCCAACCAAGTATAACCCTGGTGGCCCCCAGCACCTCAACACCTCCAGACCTGAGCACCAATATATCGCTTGACCCACACAGTGCTCAGGAGTGGACCCCAAACCCCCGAGCACTGCTTGGAAAGACCCCCTTCAAGAAGATTTTATGTAGCTTTTATATATGCCAACTTCTGCATCCCAGGACCCAACCTAGGTCACCCTCAAGGATATTCCTGACTCTCCAGCTCATTCTTGTACAGTCGATTTTCCTGCTCTGACAGCATGCACTTGGCTTTTTCCTTTGGCAGGGCTGTGGGTGGAAGTCAGAGACATCTAGCAGGGCTAGGGCTGACTCTAGGCTCTGTGCTTGGGGATCACTCCTGGTGGGGCTCTGAGGACCATATGGGGTTCCAGCGATCAAACCCAGGTCAGCCGTATGCAAAGCAAACACACATCTGCTGTTCTCTCACTCTGGTCCCAGCATTAAAACAAGAACCAAAAAAGGGCCAAACTTCTCCCCCACCTCTGAGTGGCTCAGCAGCCTGTGCAGGATGGGGTTTCAGAGCAGGAGACGGACACACACTCTCTCTCTCTCTGGAAGACTGGAGCAGAAAAGGAGGTGGAATAAAGGACGTCCCATCAAAAACCAGCACCTGGCCTTGCAGCAAGCTTGGTAAGCACTGCCATGTTGCATTACTGTAAACTCCAACAGCAGTGCTTCGCTGCCCCGGAGTGGAGTCATTTACAAAGATATTCGGGGGGGCACAATTAGGAGTCCAACCTTAAGACTCAATGCACAAAACTCAACTGAAGTAAGGAAAGGCTGCCCAATTGAAAAGCTACTCCAGCCTTACCATCCCGATAAAAATACTGAATGCCCTGAACAAACAGCGTGACCTCTTAGCACCCGTGTTGCAAACCATAATGCACAAAAGGAAAAGGAGAGAGAGAGCAAGAAGGAAAGTGCCTCCCATAGAGGGAGGCTGCAGGTGGAGGGTGGGGTGTTGGGGGATGGTGGTGGGGAAATGGGGGACATTGGTGGTAGGAAATGTACCCTGGTGGAGGGATGGGTGCTGGATCATTGTATGACTGAAACCCAATTAGGAACAGCTTTGTAATGGTCTATCTCATGAATATCCAATTAAAAAAAAATTTTTTTAAAGTAATGTGGAGTTCATGCCCAATTCAATCAGCTTGATCAATGGCTGAATAAATAGCAGTACTCCTACGTTAAAAAAAAAAAAAGTAAGGAGGGCTGGAGAGATAGCACAGTGGGTAGAGTGTTTGCCTTGCATGCGGCCAACCCGGGTTCGATTCCCAGCATCCCATATAGTCCCCTGAGCACCGCCAGGAGTAACTCCTGAGTGCAGAGCCAGGAGTAACCCCTGTGCATGGCCAGGTGTGACCCAAAAAGAAAAAAAAAAAAGTACGGAGGGGGCTGGAGCAATAGCATAGCAGGTAGGGCGTTTGCTTTGCATGCGGCCAATCTAGGTTCGATTCCCAGCATCCCATATGGTCCCCTGAGCACTGCCATGGGTAATTCCTGAGTGCAGAGCCAGGAGTAAACCCTGTGCATTGCCAGGTGTGACCCAAAAAACAAAACAAAACAAAAAGTAAGGGAAGGCAAGTGTCAGGCAAGGCAGAGCCTGTCCCAACATGACTAGTGCAGTTCTATCACCCTGCCAAGCTTCTATGATCTCACGCTCTAACTCTTGACATTTTGTTCACTGACGCATCTACTTTAAAAAGACAACGTGTGAGCTGGGGAGATGGCTCAAGGGCTGGGGTGTGGGCTTCATGCGGGGCCCAGGTTCCGGTTCGATCCCTGGCACCACTTGGCTCCTCCAATCCCCAATCCCACCACCCCAAGACTGCTAGATCTGACCCCCAAACCAAATAAATAAACATGAACAAAGACAATGTGCTTTAAACACTTAAAATTTAAAAAAGTTATTTGGAACCACTCTTTGCTATGTGCAGGGGGACCCTATGTGGTGCTGGGGATTAAACCAGGGTTGGTCACATGCAAAACAAGTGCCTTCCCTCCACCTTCCCCATACCCCTCAATGTTATCTCTCCATTTTAGGCACAAATTTCAAACAGGTTAAAGGCAACTATATTGTTCTGTCATTTCAGATTGTTCTCCCAGTTCAGCCCCCAGAATGCCAGGGGCTTGTCTCTTTGTCTTGAGGGGTGCCACTTTTCCCTTTGGACTTTGCGGGTGGGGTATGTGACAAAAATGTACTTCCTAAAAAAATATTCTCTCTCTCTCTCTCTCTCTCTCTCATTTTTGGATCACACCCAATGGTGCTCAGGGATCATTCCTGACTGTGCTCAGGGGACCATATGGGATGCCAGGGATAGAACCCAGTGGGCCACGTGCAAGGCAAACACCCTCCCCGGTATACTCTCTCTCTCTCTCTCTCTCTCTCTCTCTCTCTGCCCTCCAAAATTTCTCATTTTACATCCTTTATCGTCTTTATTTTACAATCCAAACGTGAATCTTTGACAACCCCAAGGGCTGGAGCCCTCCGGCGCTATAGGAATACTCCCTGCCAGGCCTGCGGCCTCCCTCACTGCCCGCTGCCGTCTGGCTCAATCCTAGGAGCCGTCGGATAGTGCCGGTACTCAGGCTTCAGCTCCCACAGGCCTTTGTGGGGCCCCTTCATGTTCCGGATGCCTATTTCATTCAAGATTTCTTTCAGGTACACCACCGGCTGCAGAGTCAAGTTAACCAAGTCCTTGATGTTATAATACTGGTGTTTCTCGAAGGCAGCAAAGAGCACAGCCAAAACCTGCTCTTTGTCGGCCCTCACTCTCTTCCCCCTTTCTTTCTTCTTCTTCTCATGCTCAATGTTATGCTGATGGTCAGCAACAGGTCTGTAATTGGTGGTGACCACCTTATCCAGTTTCTGCGTGATTCTGGTGGGCTTGCAAGCCTCCTGGATCTGGACTCTCTTCAGTCTCAGGTAGTTGTCGCTTGCAGCTGCCCTACATTCCACCCGATGCACCACTGTCCCCTCCAAGGAGCACTTGTGGGCAGCATCCTCCGTGAGCACAGCCAGGAGCTGCCCTCTGACCCCCTCCAGGAAGAACTGGTGATCTCGGGGTGCGCTGACCCCAGTCGATTGTCCATGACTGCCCGGGGCATTTGTAAGTTCCTCACGCAAAGTAAATGATATTCTGGGCTTTTTTTGATTCTTGTCAATCTTTAGCCGCCCTACTTCAGTGCTGGAAGCTTCGGACCACAGCTGGGACAAGTACTTAGGGACCTTTACCAGCCACATCACCTGGTTCTTTTGGATGCCTTTCAAGTCCAGGTATGTGTGCTGGGTCTTGCGCCAGCTACTTCCAGAGGCCATGTGATCCTGGGCTGGGGGTGCAGAGGAAGAGGAGGAAGGAAGGAAGGAAAAAACAGGGCACCAGCTCAGGCCTGGGAAACTGGCCAAAGGAGGTGAAGCACATGTGATCTCAGAAACAGTCACCGTTAAAGATGAAATCATGCAACTTGCGGCAACCTGGGTAGAACAAGGGAAATAGCATGCTGAGTTGAGCCAGAGGAAGGACAAACACAGGCTGATCTCATTTATCTGTAGTATATAGAATACTGGGCTGGAATGATAGCACAGCGGCCAACCCAGGTTCGATTCCTCCATCCCTCTTGGAGACTTAGCAAGCTACCGAGAGTATCCCCCTCGCACTGCAGAGCCTGGCAAGCTCCCTGTGGCAATATTCAAAAACAGTAACAACAAGTCTCACAGTGGAGACATGCTGATGCCCATTCGAGCAAATTGATGAACAATGGGAGGACAGTGCTACAGTGCTATATAGAATACTGAATGGGGAACTGTCATGTAGTAAAGGAGGGGATACCTAGATCAGCTTTGACCCCAGAGTTTAGGAAGGACGAAGAAGGAAAGAAAGAAAGAGGTGAAGGAAGAAGAGAAAGGGACGTCATAGAGCTGGTTAAAGAAACTTTGGTACATTTACACAATGGAGTATTATGTAGCTGTTAGAAAAGATGAAGTTATGAAATTTACATACAAGTGGTACTACATGGAAAGTATCATGTTAAGCGAAATGAGTGAGAAAGAGCGGAATAGACACAAAGATTGCATTCATCTGGGGAACATAAAGCAACAAAAAGGGAGACTAACACCCAGGAATGGCTGAGATTAGTACCAGGAATTTTGCTCCATGACTGGAAGGCCAGCCACACGTGCTAGGTGAAAAGGAAGCTCAGATAGAGAAGAGAGCACCAAATAAAGGGTGTTGTGAAGACCCTCCCAGGGTGGGAGAGACATGCTAAAAGTAGTCTATAGACCAAACATGATTGCCACTCAATGCCTCTCTTGCAAAACACAGTACCCAAAAGAACAGAGAGAGAACAAGGGGGAATACCCTGCCACAGAGGCAGGATGGGAGGGGGGGGGGATGGGGGGTGGGGTGGATGCTGGGACCCGTGGTGATGGATGACGGGCACTGGTGGAGGGATGGGCACTTGATCATTGTATAACTGAAACCCAAGCACAAAATTTGTAAGCCTATAACTGTACCTCATGGTGTTTCACTAATAAAAAAAGAAAAAAAAAAGAAAGAGAAGGGACGTCATAGGGGAACAGGGGTCAGGGGCCTTAGTGGTATCAATGATGTGGGAGGGAGTGGTCGAGTTACACATCTAAAGCACAGACTCCACAACATTGAAAACACGAGATCTAAAGTACAGCCACAGAACTTTGAACTGTGCTTATCAAGTTGGTGGGGTTGGCGGGTGGGGGAGCATGGGAACGCTAGTTGGGAGGGTAGTTGACACCATTGGTAGGATTATTATCAGAATATTGTATGCCAAAAACCCAGTCATCAGTAACTTCACAAATCACATTTCTTTAATTAAATAAACATTTAAAAAAATTAAAAGAAATGGTCACTGTTAGGCTACGTCAGAACTTCCTAAACTTCTTCCTCCAGAGACCCCTTTTCACCTTGAGAACGTTTTTATATGACCCAGGATGTGAAAGAAAATAAAATCGAACATTTACTAACAAAGAAATTTACTTTAGGGGCTGGAGTGATAGCACAGCGGGTAGGACGTTTGCCTTGCACGCGGCCGACCCGGGTTCAATTCCCAGCATCCCATATGGTCCCCTGAGCACCGCCAGGAGTAATTCCTGAGTGCAGAGCCAGGAGGAACCCCTGTGCATGGCCAGGTGTGACCCAAAAAGAAAAAAAAAAGAAAAAAGAAATTTACTTTAGAGGTAAATCGATGGCTCAATGATCTGGTTCAAATCCTGGCATTGGGGGGTGCCCTGAATTATATCTGGAGTAACACACTGCCCCTGCCACAACCTAGCACGCAGCTGGGAGAATCCCCTAAACACTGCTGGGTGTGGTCCCAAAACAACAAAATATATTTTAAAACAAATTAAGCTATGATCTCTTGAGGGGTTGTGACCCTCAGTTTAAAAAAAACTAGGATTAGGGGCTGGAACAATTGCACAGCAGATAGGGCACTTGCCTTGCATGCAGCCGACCCGGGTTCAATCCCCAGTCTCCCACCTGGTCCCCTAAATCCTGCCAGGAATGATCCCTGAGCATAAAGGCAGTAATGAACCCTGAGCACAGCCAGGTGTAGTCCCGCCCAAGCTTTTTAATTAAAACAATTTTTAAATATAAAAATCTAGGGTCTGAGAGTACTGTTCAACAACTGCCAGATAATTCATAATTAATGAGGAGAATTTGGAAATCAACTGTGGTCCAAAAACAAAACGAAACAATAAATTAAGCGCTCAAATGTGGTCCATGTGTATACGTCCCGGTGTAAGTAAGGGGAGGTTCAGACCTCCCAGGGCAAGTTTTCTCAGCGATAAGAGCTTCGGGTTTTTACTTTCAAGCAGAGGCTGTTCTTCCCCATGGTCCCTTGACCTGATCTAATCTTAAATATTTTATGTATTCTTTGTCTTACAATCAACATAAAATATGTTTTTTTTTTATGTTCTATAGTCAACATAAAAATTCCCAGTTCTGTCTATTTTGATTGATTCTCCCATCTTCCCTGTCAGGATGAAAGGACTGTGTTGTGCTAGACTGTTACTTAGTGTTCTTTGCATTCAGTAAATTGATTCTTTTTCTTATCTCTTTTTTTTTATAAGAAATGAAAGATTTTATGTAAATTTTTTTTTCATGAATAGAGGAGACAAGGAAGGAAATTGGGGGGAGAGAGAGAAGGGACAGGTAAGGAGGACCAGCTGGGGTCTCACCACTAGCACATCACTGGGTTCTCAGGTACCCCTATCTCCAAACTCGGGTCCACTCAGGTCCACTTGAGTCCTTGCCCTCACGGGGAAAAGAAAACTACCACAAGAAAAGACAAGAGGCACAGGGTACGAATGGGGTTGTAGGTATAGAGGCACACATCAACCTGAGCCTAGGGGAGGGTCGGGGAGACACCAGCCACTGATGGCCCCGCAGGCCCCCAAGGTTAGTTGGCAGATTCTAGGTTTTAGGGGACATGCTGCAGACCTCTGCAAGGCACTTGCCAGCAAAGTAATTGTTCCAGCCCCTAAAACCTCTTGAAGGCTCCTAAGGCTGTTGATGAAGCCGTTCAAATTAGCAGTTGAACAGTTTGGGGTGACATGTCGGGGGCAGAGTGGGGTAGGGAACTCCCAAGCAGCACCTCAAGGGGTTGGGGGTTACTCTAAGCAGTACCTAGCCAACCCCGCTGATGTGGGGCGGTGTGTTCAGTAGGGGCCTCCCGGCAGGGGTGCCCAGCTTCCAGCTCCCCCATAGCTATTTCCTGGGTCAGCAATATTTCTTTTTTAAATTTTGTCTTGGGGCCCACCCGGCGGTGCTCAGGACTTATCCCTGGCGGGGTCGGGGTACGAACGCAGGCCAGCCCGCGAGCGAGGCAAACGCCCTACCCGCTGTACTATAGCTCCAGCCCCAGCAATGATATCTCTCAAGGCTCCCAAGACACCGTTTCGGGCCCTCCCACACCTAAGGCAGAGCACATACCTGCAGAGCCAGCCGGGTTTTACAAGGGACGCCAGCGGGCAGGAGAGGCAGCCGCCTCGCTGGACTGAACGCTCAGCCCTGCCCGCTCTATTTATTTGCGGCCTGGGAGGAATTCTGGGGCTGGCAGGTGTTCCCACCCTGCCCTGCTGATCCAATCCGGGCTGAGACGCGCCAACGCTCGGTTCTGAGTGCTCGTTTTCCGTGAGCCCCGGCGCAGGCGGGCTCCCGCCCCAGGGACCAGGTTGAGGCTGCCTTAGAGGAGTGACCAAAGGATGCGGGTCGTGGAGATCAGACCGCCGCCCACCTGAGCTCAGCTCAACTCTGGGGAAACCTAGAGTTCTTGCCCCTAGAGGCCACTTCACTGGCGGGAGGCTTGGCAATCACCAGTACCCCCTCAAGCCCCCTCCTGACCTTGAGCACTGGGCCAGGAGGAGCCCCTAGCATTGCCAGGTGTGCCTCCCCTCAACCGAAAAAAAAAAAAAAGTCTTTTTATTTTGTTAACCTCTCTGCTCTCTTCCTTGGTTTTCAGCACCCTTTTGGCTTCCTCAGATTCCTTACCTCTAAATTGCTCATTTCCAGTTATTCTTTTCTTGGGGTGTGTGTGTGTGTGTGTGTGTGTGTGTGTGTGTGTGTGTGTGTGTGTGTGTGTGTTTTCCTTAGGCTACCTCGGGTCATAAATGAAGTCCTCAGTCCTGACTTTCTTCCTTTTTTTTTCCCCCTGGTGTTGCTCAGGGTTTTCTCCTGGCTCTGCGCTCAGGGATCACTCCTGGTAGGACTCAGGCACCATATGGGGTGCTGGGAATTAAACTCAGGTGAACCATGTGCAAGGCAAGTGATTTTATCCGCTGTGCTATCTATCCAGCTTTCTCTTTCCTTCTTTTTTCCTTCTCTCTCTCTCTCTCTCTCTCTCTCTCTCTCTCTCTCTCTCTCTCTCTCTCTCCCCCCCCCCCTTGTTTTGGGGCCATAGTCAGCCATGCTGAGGGCTTACTCCTGGCCCTGCACTCAAGAGCTCACTCCTGATGAAGTTAGGAGACCATACGTGGTTTGGGGGATCGAATGCAGGTCACTCATGGGCAAGGCAAGTGTCCTACCCACTGTACTATTGATCCAGCTCATTTCTCACTTTTTTGGGGGGGGCCACACCCAGCGATGCACAGGGGTTACTCCTGGCTCTTCACTCAGGAATTACTCCTGGCAGTGCTTGGGGGATCATATGGGATGCTGGGAATCGAACCCGGGTCGGCCGTGTACAAGGCAAACGCCCTACCCGTTGTGCTATCCTCCAGCCCCCTCATTTCTCACTTCTTACACCTTTTGGAGATGTATTCTCTCAGAACACCGGCCACAGTTC